TTACATTGACAATTCGATTTCATCAACATTTTATAGAAATGTAGAACCTACTAATACAAGAGAACTATTTACTAACAAATTGATTCATCTTTCAACTGGTAATTGCCAAGCAGAATTTGCAATTATCAAAAAAAACCAAATGCATTGAATATTTCTCTCACCGATTCCCACGTCGTCGATTATTAAATATTTAATATTAATTATTTATCTTAATAAAATTACTTTTATTTATATAGAAACTTTCTAAAATATCCGTATTCTGTGTTCTGTAAAAAATTCAATGATGACAGAATTTATTACATTTCCATATGGATAAATGAATGTAATTAAATCCTACTCAAAAATTAGCATGGAATATGATAATATTGATTATTTATTTATTTTTTGTCTGGTGAAAAGTCTCGCACTTCACAATCTCATAATTTGATTATATTTAACATAACTATTAGTTGTTGTTGTATAGAGTTCTTGATTGTAACATCAACAAAACTTGGAAGATGGAAGTCAATGTCATTCGAATCTAAATATTCATGAATATATGTAATATACCTCTTGATTGTAATATCAACAACACTTGAAATATTGTTCTTTAATCAATGATTTATTACATTATCATCTTACTTTTTTTATACTTCTAAAACATAAAATTCATTATTTATGAGATAATTAATAAAATAAAAAACAAAATAACTTTATTTATTTAGATTCTTTTGGGATGACGAAGCGTGGACATAAGTTGTTGATAGACTTTAACCAGAATTCTGAGAATTTCTGTGTTTCTTCTTTCATGAAATTGATATATGTTTCAAATGATGTAACACGTGACTTCATTTCACGTTGATATTCCTCAAATGAGCGATTCCTTTCAACAATAACGCCGCGATATAGATGTGTCAATAGATGTAATAATAGGCATCATTGCGGATTCAACAGACTTGATTGCATCTGATTTCTTTGGTTTCTTAACTGTTTTCCTTCCTGAATTCTTCTCTTTCGTTTGTTGATCTTGACTTTCTGTTTGACTGGTCATAGAAGACAATGGTTCCATTGTTAAAGGTAATGTTGGCCATTGCCGGACATGGAATGGTCTGTCTTGGTCATCTGGTAATTGCATGGACTTCCTTTCTTTGTCTTTAATCAATGATTTCAATGTCCTGCGTTCTTCATTGGCAACTGGACCTGGAATCAAATCTTCTAATAATGGGAATTTATCAAACAATGACATCAATGAAGATGTGATTAATGGTAAATGTGATGTGAACATGTTCATTACGTTCTTCTCTGTTTCGATAATAGAGTTCTCGTAGTTTTGGATAACGGTTAATTCATTCTTACGTCGTTCTTCTTCTGAATTATACAATTTCTTTAATTCGGAAATGTTGTTTGAATCGGATAATTTAGGACTCAATGCTTTGACGTTTTGATCGCGTTGTGTTCTTAATTCTTTCATTTTATTGTTGAATTCGTCTTTGTTGTCAACAGTCAATAATTCGATTTTATCCGCATAATACTTAACAACACAATCATATATTAAAATTCATAAAAACACTTGAAATTCTGCGAAGTCTTTCTCCTCACTATTCATTTACAGAGTATGTAGTTCAGGGGTATTATTGTGTACTTCCTCTTATACCCATGCAAATTTAATCTACCGATTTTTTAAATTCACATGAATTTTTAATTAATTATGCAATTGAGAAGTTAGTATGGCTAAGTCGTGTACTGAGGCACTGCGCGCCTCCGTACACCACTTAGCGGTTTTGACACTTTACAAAACCGTTAACGTATATTTTACAACACAAACGACAACACCAACTTAACCTTAAATATTTACAAAGCCATCAACCACTTCACCTCACTAATGTAAAAAATAAACGTTCTCACTTACAAAAGTATTGCAACTCCTCCCATTGCTGTGCTTCACATAACAGCTCATAATCTTCTGACTCACTTTCTTCTTCATATAGGTCAAAATCACTGTCAAAATAAATGTTAGTAAGTTTTGACAAAGCTAATGAAACACGTTTACCGTTTGTATCGTATGCTTGTATAAACTTTCCATTCTTCATTCCTTCATAAACGCTCAAACTAACTTTACCCTTTCTCCCTCGTATCTGATAGAATGTATTTTCACGAGGAACGAAGAACAAATTCTTGAACTCATGACCGTTGTAGTTTGTTATCTCAATAGTTTTCGTCATTTATATAAAAATAAAATAAAAAATAAAATAAAAAATAAAATAAAAATAAAATAAAAAATAAAATAAAATAAAATAAAAAATAAAATAAAAAATAAAATAAAAAATAAAAATAAAAAAAAATAAATGATATCACCACCCACACGTATATGAAAACATAGCACAAAAATAAATTTAGGTGAAGTGGTGAGATCTCACCTCTTTTTTCACCTGTTTTTTCACCCTGTTGAATTCATTGCTTTATAACTCTCTTCCTTGGTTTCTTTTTAGTTGCTTTCTTCACGTCTGTCTCCAACTTGACTGTCTTTCTTCTTCGGCCGTAATGATACCAGTTACTTCCACCAGTCAATGGGTCAAATGGTCTTTCGTAAGGGTTTCCATACATTCCATAAGGTCCGTATGGATAAACCGCTGGTGGAGAAGAAACATTTTCTTTAGTTCCATCGACTCTATTTAAATGCATTGTTTCACCTTTCATCTGGTCATTAAAGTCTTTTGCGTGTTTTGCAAACTCATCGTCCTTTCCTAAAGCATTTTCTGACTCAGTCGCAACCAAATTGGATGCTTTATTTATGAGCCCTATTTTATTTAATCTTAACTTCTTTGCAACCCAGCCTCCAATCTTCCCTTTATTTGCATCTAATGTCTTCGAAACCCTTCCTCCACTCATTTTATTTACTGCGTCATAAGCTCCAAGTGCTTTTGCTCCAAATGCTAATGCTTTTGTTCCCATTGCGCCTAAAGCTGCCCAAGCTACCATTTACACCATATTAAAATCATCTCTCTTCAATATTATCTCATAAAAGTTCTCGTTACTGGAGAAAGTCAATGAAACATAAGCGTTCTCACGGGCTTCGCCCTCACTACTTTGCGGTCTATCTAACTTCTTTCTTATATCATCTATACGCTTCAAAATGTCTGAACAATTGCTAACATCTTCTACAACAGTTATTTCATCATGAATGACCTTCAAGAACAAGCTCATTTAATATGCTATTAAAATCATCTCAATAATGAGTCCATCCTTTCCATCTTTAGGTAGCACAACATCTTTCATTGAAGAAGGTTCGACAAGTCTTATGTTAAACTTACTGACAAAGTTTGTTATACTATAATGCTTTGGCGGCGAATACATATAGTTTGAAAGACATAATATAGATTCTTCAGCAAATTCACTTATACTGGATTTTATAACAATGTTCTCACGAGACCAAATACCACCAATTGACAATCTTGTAAGCAATCCTGCTGAACCTTCTACTGTAAACGTCGATGGTAACATTCCACGAAGGTCATCTATTGACATCGTTGAGTCACTGTATTTAAATATTTTCTTAAAGCAATCGTCATTATCTAACCATGCAATAGCTTTGAAGTTTTCATTCGAATATACATCTGCTTCATTAAATGTAAAACCTGACTTCTTTGCAGAGACGACTTTAAAATCTATTGAGTTTGTTTCAAAATTATATGCTATGGTAACTTCTGAAGGTAATGGATGTCCTTCCGCAGTCAGTTGTTCTCTCACTACCGTTTGAAGCTTTGTATTAAAAACTTTCATGTCATCTCCTGTATCTAAGTTCACATACACAGCAACAGGGAAACTATCTTGCTTCTTTGTTTCATCATTATACCTCAAAACATTAAAGTTCTTCAATAATATTGTTCTTCCTGCTGGAATACTTCGAACCTGTCTGATTTCAATAGCTTTCTCACCTCCTACATACTCTACCCAGTGTCTTGGATATTCATAAGTATACTGACTTTCTTGAATTTTGGTTGGTTTCATCATAACATGTTCATAGTATATCTTTATACTCTTGTCAGTTAGACTCGGTGCTATGTTCTGAATATTTCTGACTTGCATTTTTAATGGAGATAAAATGAAGCATTTAATACATGACGTAGATGAAGACATGAATGAAACTACAGACAAACTTAACTCTTCTCTTATTCTTCCTTTCAGCAAAGATTATGAGTTCTGTTCAAATGGTGTGTATTTCTATTGTGGAAAGATGGGTTCAGGTAAGACATTTAACCTCATTCGTCATATACTCATAACAGAACGTTTAGGAAATGACTCATATTATGACCAAATCATTATATCAGCAACTTCAGACTCTATGGACTCAACAGCGAAAACATTTATGTCAAAAGTTCAAGCCTCTGTCGTTAAAGTTCCAGACAGTGAACTCATTGAATTTCTTCAACGTTACATTCGACGTAAGAGAAAATATTATGCCATCGTTGAATTTATACAGTCAGGAATGCAAAAGACTTCTGAGGAGATGGAAAGAATTATTGACAAACACCACTTGCGTCAGTACTCAGGAGTTTACGATATGAAACGACTGACAAACTACATTCTATCAAAACTTTCAAAATACCCCTTCAAAAAATATCCATCAAACACTTTATTAGTTTGTGACGACTTCGCCGGAAAAGGTTTAGTTTCAAAGCCTGACTCACCATTAGCTAACATCATAACTAAAGTCAGACATTACCATTTAACTGTAGCAATACTTATGCAAACATGGAGGTTTTTAGCTTTAAACATAAAACGTCTCATAACTGACTTCGTTATCTTTCAAGGTTTCTCACGCTATGACATTGAACTCATTTGGAAACAGTCAGGTATAACATTACCTTTTGAAGAAATTTGGGAAGCATATAAGTCTCTCATCTCTCCTCGTTCATACCTTGAGATTCATATCATGACTAATACCATTAAAGTCAAAAATATTCCATGGGAACGACCAACATTGTTTTAAAGTTTAACCTTCAATTGACTGATGGTAAACAAATTCCATGCATCTCTGTCGCCATTTCTGTTAATATTTTTGCTGTCATTCATATCATCCACTTCCCCATCCGTTAGCTTTTGAGGATATGCGTTAGAATAGCTGTTCTTAAATGAAGGCTTTTCACCTTTGAGAGCATAAACTCTATAACTTTCTGCATACTTTATGTTTGAACCTCCTGAGCCATCATTGACATAAATTTTTATAGGCTTCCACCCTTTGTTCATGTTCCTGCTTCTTCCCTTAGCTCTTTTGTTCAGTAGTTCTACATCTTTATACACAGCTCCTGTCTCAGTGAATTCAACAATATTTTCATTCGTTAGCTTTACATTCAAACCCTTGTCGAGTATATTGTTCATTTCATACATATAAAAGGTTTTTATTCTATATGAAATGAGAAGCAAATCCATCTTAGCTGGTGCCGTTAATGTTCCAATTGAACCAACATCAAATGTTGACTCACGAACGACAAACAATATTGTCATAAAGAACTATAGTTCAGAGTGTTTGAAAGAACCAGAACCAGAGCTGAAATCCGTGAATTTAAACACAGCTTCAAACGCTAACGCTACATCAGATGTTAAGTTAGAGTATCCACCACTGGACCAAATTCTTTCAAGAGAAGCCAACGACAATCCTTACACAAATGTTCAAACAAATCCTTCAGATAACGTAGACCATTACCTTCTTCAGTTATACCAAACAATTTTACTCAAAGACGATAAGAAGCTTTTGACAAATCTTATAAGTAAGAACCAAATAATTCTAACAAAGGAGGACCTTGAAAATGTTATCTCACGAATAACAGGGAAACAATGTGTCATTGACTATCTCGACCCTGAAATCGAATGCTGTGGTCAAACTCCACTATTCATGAAAATAGGTAACATCCGCATCATTGAAACACCAGGAACTACAGGAGTTGAGTTTAAGTATAAATATTCGAATGAATATACAAAACTTTCAACAGAATATAAACTTTGTTTGAAATATGTTTTAGTAAATTAAAGCAGTCAGGAGGGCTCTTTGAGAGTGTGGTAGAATTTACGAAAAAGTGACACTTAACCTTAAATTTCCAAACACTATTTTTGATTGTATTTTGTTATTTATATATTTATATATATATATTTTATATATGTATATATTATATATGTATATATATATGTATATATTTATATATGTATATATTTATATATGTATATATTTATATATGTATATATAATATGTATATATTTATATATGTATATATTTATATATGTATATATTTATATATGTATATATTATATATGTATATATTTATATATGTATATTTTATATATGTATATATATATTATATATATATTTATATATGTATATATTTTATATATGTATATATTTATATATGTATATATTTATATATGTATATATTTATATATGTATATATTTATATATGTATATATTTATATATGTATATATTTATATATGTATATATTTATATATGTATATATTTATATATGTATATATTATATATGTATATATTTTATATGTATATATTTATATATGTATATATTTATATATGTATATATTTATATATGTATATATTTATATATGTATATATTTATATATGTATATATTTATATATGTATATATTATATATGTATATATTTATATATGTATATATTTATATATGTATATATTTATATATGTATATATTTATATATGTATATATTTATATATGTATATATTTATATATGTATATATTTATATATGTATATATTTATATATGTATATATTATATATGTATATATTTATATATGTATATATTTATATATGTATATATTTATATATGTATATATTTATATATGTATATATTTATATATGTATATATTTATATATGTATATATTTTATATGTATATATTTATATATGTATATATTTATATGTATATATTTATATATGTATATATGCATGTATTTATATATGTATATTTATTTTAAAAAATTAAAAATAATATAATTAAAATTTATTTATATTTTAAATTTCATACTGATCTTCGATTCCAATTTGTGAATTGATATCATTAACAATTGAATTTCGGTGCACCCCTATGAGAGCGCTGGCGACCGAAACACAACTAGTAAGATTGTGTATTAGAAACTGCTTCATGCTGTGTTGAGTAAGCTTCGATGTCTTTGTAGGATAGCTTTCTGAGAGCGAAACAAGATAGTGTTGAAAAAAAAAATTGAAAATCTGAGAGACTGTGCAAGAGCCAACGACCAAAACACTACCAGTAAGATACAGCAGTAGTAGCTGCTTCATGCTGCATTGAGTATTGTTGAATAATTTGAAGTAGTGGTTTTTGAAATCAGCACCCCTATGAGAGCGCTGGCGACCGAAACACAACTAGTAAGATTGTGTATTAGAAACTGCTTCATGCTGTGTTGAGTAAGCTTCGATGTCTTTGTAGGATAGCTTTCTGAGAGCGAAACAAGATAGTGTTGAAAAAAAAAATTGAAAATCTGAGAGACTGTGCAAGAGCCAACGACCAAAACACTACCAGTAAGATACAGCAGTAGTAGCTGCTTCATGCTGCATTGAGTATTGTTGAATAATTTGAAGTAGTGGTTTTTGAAATCAGCACCCCTATGAGAGCGCTGGCGACCGAAACACAACTAGTAAGATTGTGTATTAGAAACTGCTTCATGCTTTGTTGAGTAAGCTTCGATATCTTTATCAGACCACCTTTAAATTAACCACTCACATTCTCACTGTGGTCCATCTAAAATTTGTAAACTTTATGACATAAAATTATATTTTATGCAGGATCCCACCTATTACTTAATCTTTTTGGAATAAATGTTTTATAATATTTATCGATTGATTGTAATTTTTTGTATAAAAAAAAGTTTTTTATTTATATTAAAAATATATTCGGTTAATGATATTATCTTATAATTTGTAAATAAATCTAGTAATAAAATAACTTTAATAGTTGGTGTCACTTTTTCGAAAATTCTGGTTTTTTCATATACAAAACTTTCAACAGAATATAAACTTTGTTTGAAATATGTTTTAGTAAATTAAAGCAGTCAGGAGGGCTCTTTGAGCCCATCTTGGCGCTTTGTGCCGTCAGTCAAAAAAAATTTCAAGTTAGCAATTTGTAATATCTATCCAAAACTTCTTCAACAGTATCGAACTCATCTTCATAATGCAAACCTAATCTTATTGACTTGGTGCAGTTTTCACTAACACAATATTTTTCTGTTCTCTTGACTGACATAACTAATTCATTTGTTTCATCAAACAGCAACAACCAAAGTTCATGACCTAATACATAACATTCATACTTTATATTTTTAGCTCTGAGTTCTCTTGTAAGCTGTTGCATTTAATATTTTCTAAAAAGTCAACTTCAACAGTCATTCGCACTGGTGCCTTCAGTTCTACAGGCTCTCCTTGAAAGTCAACAAGTCTGAATTGCATGTCTTTCAAATTATGAGGACTAATGCGAACCCATTTACCTAAATGAGTTGCTATGACAGGAACGTTTGGAATGAACATTGAATTGACTGCATAACAGAAGGATTTATATTCTACTGAACCTTTACTATTAACTCCTGAAATGCCTGTGACATTAGCTATTTTAGACTCAATGTATAAACAATTACCATAACATACGTATGGAACAGATTTCATCTCAATCGTTTTGTCAACACTTTTCAAAGGAAATGTCATATGGTATGCACCCAAAAGAAGTTGTACTCTATGACTCATTCGTGTTATCTTAAACTCCTTCGCATAACTGAACTTCAAAACTCCTGCAATAAGTTTAACATTCATTAAGTTTTCTTCGTTATCCTTGTTTATTGTAGTATTTATGAGAGCATTTAACACTCCAGCTAATGTTTCCATCTTATATTCTACATTATTGTGAAATCTTATTTCGTGCTTCTTTCCATCTATTTCAATCTCCATGAAATCTGTTTCATATGTTATAACGAATGAAGCGATAGTATTGAAGTCAACCATTCTGAATGCAAGCGCCTCATTCTGTAGACCTAAGTTTGTTTGTAGCTTTACTGTCCCGTATTCGTTTGGGTCTGTACTTTGCAAATAGAACAACATTTTATTCTCATTAAAATATGAGTATAGCTGCATATGCGTATGAAGCTGACAGAGCTAAACGTTTATATTTTGGTCAATACTCTCTCACACTTACTGATAAATATATTGTTATCACTGATGGAAATACTGAGAAATACATAACATGGAAGGACTATGAAAAGTTTGACCCTATTTTAACTCCATGTACTATGCCATTCATTGTAAATGGTGAAATCGTCATGAAGAACGACACAACTGTTTATAGGTCTGTATATGAAGCTCTTGAAAGCATTCTTAACTTCAATCCTTCAGGGTTCGATACAAAAACAACTCCTTCGACAATGCCATTCATTGTAAATGGTGAAATTGTGTCAAAAAATAATGAAACAGTGTATAAGTCAGTGTATGAGGCGCTGAACTATATGCTTCATTTCAATCCTTCTGGTTTTGACCCACAAATAACTTCATGTACTATGCCATTCATTGTAAATGGTGAAATCGTCATGAAGAACGACACAACTGTCTCAAAGTCTGTTCGTGATATTTTAGACTACTTGCTTCATTTGGGTCCTACAGGATTTGACCCATATACAACTCAATGTCAAGTACCATTCATAAACGACTCAGCAGAAATAAAACTCAAAACGTCAACAGTAGATGAAGCAATTGCTGACTCATTGACAAAACTTCTTGATATAATAATGAAGTTCAATACATTCAAAACAACATATGAAACCTTTAAGAAAAAATATGACGATTTCTTTAAAATTACATACATCGAGCCTTCTGCTCCTCAAACACCAGACTATGCATGCCTTAAAATAAAGGCTGCACGGGCACAAGTTAGAACATTGACTTTTGACGGAGATAATATCGTTAGAGACGTTACACCTGGAGACACATTACTTACGAAAGAATACTTAAAAAGTCATATCAGTGATTTTGTGAAAGTAGAACAAAGTGGAGCAGGTAAGAGTTGGTTAGGGTGGTTGTTTACTTTATTTTCATCAGGTGTAACAACTGCATCTCTTATAACCATGCAAAGTGAGATAGATGCACTCTGGGCTTTTCTTGGTGGCATAGATAGCATGAAGTTTTATGTTGAGTTTGCTAAATTACATGGAAATACAGGAAGTTTCTTTGACGGTCTCAAAAATTTATGGGGTAAAGTAACATATAATACAAAGAAACTAACTAACTGGGCACTCAAACGTAAAAATATGTTCGACGGACTTGCTTACAACCCTCGTCTCGGAATTATTGAACCAATTAATTTACATCCTTTAATGGCAGCAAGAGATTTAGATGAAGGAGGACATGTGGTTCAAACAATTGTTGAAAATCTACTGAATATATATCCTGAGTTTAAAGAAGTTTTAACAGCAACAAACACAACAATTCGTGAAAACTGTATAGTGTTTAACACAGAAGATAATATTTTAGACTATATGTTCGTTGTTTTAGGTCAGTTAGCTAAGACAATAAAAGAGAAAGGTATTGACTCAGTCATAACAGTTGAAGATGTAATGTTAAGAAAGACTTTTGACTCATTGTTTCAAGAACCAAAAGAAGTAGTTAGTCTTTATGAAGTTTTGAACGCAATGCTGACAAAAATAAATGAAAGTGACACTGGTAACATAAGTGAAGCAAAAGTTGTTGAACTTCTTTCACAAAAAGCAGATAAAAACCATGTTCATTATATAACTTCAGACGAACAGATTATAACAGACTACCATGGATATTTAACACGAAGTGATGAAGCGAAGACAAAAAATGTTAATGAAAGAAGATATAAATACATTCGTGCTAAAGGTTATGACATAAGCTGTACAGTATGATGTAGCTAAAGCACCAGAACCATTTGGTTATACCGGTGAAATTTATGCCTCTACTTTCAATGTTAACGGTGTATTAGTTGAACCAAGATTTACTTTGAGAGTTAAGGCAAAAATAACTTTTGAAGATGCTATTAAAAGTAAAGCTGACAAAGATGAACTTGACGCAACGAACAAAGTTTTGAAATCTCATAAACACAATATCTCCGATATAAATGAACTTCAAGCTACATTAAATAGTAAAGCTGACAAGAACCATACACATAAATCCTTCACTACTGTTAGAGCAGACGACATAATATTGAACTATACCCTCGGTTCAAGTGCACCTTTAGAGAATCCGAGTACAAGCGTAAAAGATACACTAAACTCCTTAAATAACAAATGTATGAATATCGAAGGTCATGTCAGAAACTTTGAAGCATATGAACTACCAGCAATGTTAGATAAAAAAGCAGACAAAGAACATACACATAAATCCTTCACTACTGTTAGAGCAGACGACATAATATTGAACTATACCCTCGGTTCAAGTGCACCTTTAGAGAATCCGTGTACAAGCGTAAAAGATACTCTTAACAATTTAGATAACAGATGTATGAACATTGAAGGTCATGCCAGAAACTTTGAAACACATGAACTACCAGCAATGTTAGATAAAAAAGCAGACAAAACTTATGTAGATGAAAATTATGCAAAGAAGTCGGAAGTAAATGCTGCGCTTAATGGAAAAGCCGACAAGAACCATACACATGAAGAATTTCAAACAATCAAGATTAAAGAAATTAAAGCATGCATCAAAATAGTAACAAAAACAGGAAGAAACGGTGCAACTGTACAAGAACAAAGAATTTATCCTCCTACTTTTCCTAATGGTTTAATAACAAACAATATAAATATTGTAGATGGCAAAGGATTTATAAATGTTAAACATGAACTTCAAACAATGAAGACTCAGATTCTTGAAACCATATATCCTATAGGCTCTATTTATACGTCAATGAACTCAACAAATCCAGAAACAGTTTTAGGTTTTGGTACGTGGGAACAGATTGTAGACAAATTCTTATACTGTGCTAACTCTTCAAAGCAAACGGGGGGTTCGAAGAAAATTAAAGAAGCAAACCTTCCACCGCACACTCATACTGGAACTACAAACACAACAGGTAATCATTCACATTCAATAACAAAAAGAGGTTATACAAATCTTGCAGCAGGTTCGGATAGACAGGGAATGCATAGATATGATATTTCAAGTGACCCAGTAGATTCAAGCGCAGGTATTTTCTGTGGAACCACAGGAAATCATTCACACACTTTCACAACAAATCCAACAGGCTCGGGTGCAGATTATATGCCACCATTTGTGACTATATTCGCATGGTACCGCGTTCAATGAACGCGCTTGAGCCTTGAATAAAATCTTTAACTTTACATAAATGAGCTTGAAAGAAGTATTCGAACAACATCCATGGAGGTCATTTAAGAAGTTCAATGAAGCTGCAAAGAGTTGGGGATTTACTAACAGAGCTGAAGTGAAAAGATTCTTTGACAAAAATGTTGTACATCAAACAAAAATAAACCCTTACGACTACTTTTTACCAATTTACTCCAACACTCCTGACGCATACCAATTTGACACTCTCATTCAAAGCAGAAAAGGAGGACATAACCCATTCCTCATCTTCATAAATGTTAATACTCGCAAAGCATATGCATATCCAATGAGGAATAAAGGAACTCGTGAAGTGTTAAGAGTTTTACAAAAGTTCGTGGCAGAACATAGCCCAAGTACTTTAACATCAGACCAAGACAGTGCATACCTCAGCAATGAAATCACAGATTTTCTCATTAAGCATAACATAACTCACTACACTACTGAAGACCATAACCATAACATACTCGGCATCATAAACCGCTTCATAAGAACGCTCAGAGATTTAAATCAAGAGCGAGACTTTACCGAAGAAACAATGAAACATTTTCTCGAAGTATATAATTCCTCAACACATTCTACAACAGGACATACACCAAATTCAATGACACAAAAACAAGAAGAAAAGTATATACAAAAGAAACAAAGCCAAACACAAAATATCAGAAATTCAACACAATTTACCCTCATTCCTGGAACAAAAGTTCGTGTAGTTCTTGACGACAAACCGTTGACAAAGAAACGTTTAAGGTTAAGTAGAAACTATTATATCGTAGACTCTACGCAAGGTAATGGATATCTTATAAAAGCTGCTGACGACTCTATTGCGTTTTACCCTCGTCACAAATTAGTCGAAAGTAGTAATGGCAAACTTGCTGAAACCATTGACGAAGCAAAGCGAGGAGTGGTTATTGAAATACTTGGCTACAACATAAACGATGACACTTATAAAGTAAGATATGAAGGAGGCGTTGAAGATGTTATACCATCTAAGAACTTGAGAGAGTCGAAGCCAACACATCTGGGACCATTAGAGCGGGAGTACTGGAAAGACAAAAATAAGCCAGAAAGAATAAGAAAATTCTTCTAAACTTTTTCATTAGATGTAAATCAGACATGAATGAGAACAGTCATGATATCATTAATGGTACCATTTATTTTTGGTGAATTCACCAAAAATAATGTTTAGGTGAAGAGGTGAGATCTCACCCGTTTTTTCACCTCTTTTTTCACCCTCGCCGCTTAGCGGCTCAGATTGCTTTAGCTTTCTCGTGAATTTTCATGAATTTCCTTAAGACAGAAAAAATAAAGTTAGTTTTATTTTTATTTATTTTTTTATTTTGTATAAAAGATATGATTTCAACAATCGGCACAACAACAATTCAAGCCACGAACGGCGGGACTCTGTCCACAACTACAGCACCAAACTCGCTAGTCATGAATCCTACGTCAATGTTGGTAGAGATGAAAAGCTTTATTCCTTCTTCATATACTTTTGAAACAGAAATCGAGAAGATAAAGCAAGAACTTTTAACAAGTAATTTAGACTGTAGTGCGAAAGATGAAACAAATGAACAGTATCTTTATGAAATGGAGGACCTCATCGACCATTTGCCTAAACTACCTGAAATTCAGCAGCAAAAACTAACTATTCCTGAATTCGACGAAATTGAAGTCAAAGCAACTGACTCAGTAGAAATTAAGAAATTCATACGTAAAGTAAATTATGAATTCCTTGGTTTTCATTGCAACCATAAAGTTATGGACAAAGATTGCGACATGGTTTATAAAAATATTTCTGACCTTTACAAATCCGAAGAATTTAAGACATACGATAACTTTGTTTCATTAGTTGCAAAATGTGTATGGCAGATAAGAGATAAAGATAGAAGAGGTAAAGTATGGAATGAACAAATAAGACCCGCTATGTTTGAGATGAAGAGAGCAATTGACGCTTTAGTTATTTTAGCTGGTAATGTTTCAATGTATAACGCAAAAACGATGCCGCAATGTTCAAAATGTAAAGCAGCAATAAGAAAATATAACTACTCAGTCAAAGAGATAGAAAGAATGCGAAACGACTATGCAGACTTAAAGAAAGAAGCAGAAAAGCCAGCAGAAGATAAAATGGATATGTTGACATTTCTTAATAAAAACTATCCAACAGCAGAAGATTTCCTTTTATCTGACGTCAAGAAGAAGTATAAAGAAACCTTCGGCATTGTTAAAACATTCGATGTACTAAAAGAAGAAATAGAGGCTACAAAATTGTTTAGGATTTCAAATATACATCGTACAATTCATGTAAAACGCTTGTGAAAAAAGAGGTGAAAAAACAGGTGAAAAAACAGGTGAGATCTCACCTCTTCACCTCAACATTATTTTTATTGAATTCAGCACAAAAATAATGAATTTCATTAGTTATTTTGTATGTAAAGACAGTAATGTCAAACATTGAGTTTGAAACAGTTAGAAAGATAGACAATGACACCAAAGTGGTTAGAATAGGTGATTTAAACGTAAGATACTCAAAGAAATACAACAAATATTCTTTGTCAGACATTATATCTCCATCTGGAAAGAAAACAAACGACTGGGTTAGAAATGCTTCAACTCAGAAAATTTTGACAAGAAATCCTGAGCTTATGATATCAGTAGCATTTCATGGAACAAGAGCATATCTTATAGACAAAAGTCTTATACCAATAGTTTTGTTATGGTTAGACCCAGTTGTTGGATATAACTTCATAACATATGGTTCATTCGATACGGAACGTTGCAGTGAAGGCTTACTTTACATCGTTCAGAAACCGAAGGACTTCAACACAAAAAGATATAAGATAGGAAGGACATATAATATAGGGTGTCCAAAGGTGTGTTTAGCACAAACCTGAATACTGCGAATAGAAATAAACAAGTTACATATATATAAAGTTTATTTAAATATAATCACCATTGGATTCAATCACGCGTTCGCAGCGATCGATCCAGGCTTGAAAGACACGCTTTAAATCATCATGAGAAAATTGCTCAAATTGCTCTCTTACAAAATTTTCAAGATCATCTGGACTCGCGAATTCGCGTCCTTCAGCTCTCTTTTTTAGCGTGCCGAATAAATAAAAGTCAGAGGGTGCAATATCAGGTGAATAAATTGGGTTTGGAACAACTTTGACATTGTTTTCCACCAAGTAATTCATTACCTTATGACTTTTGTGAACTCTTGAATTATCAAAATGAATTGCAAACTTTTGTTTTTGTTGTTTGGATTTCTCAAACTCATCAGAATTGATAATTTGAGTAAGAACATTGTCAATTAGATACTGAGCATTCATCGTATTAGGTTTTTGAAGAATATCAATTGCGATGATGCCATTCACGCCCCAAAAAACCGACAACATCATCATTGGTGTGTCAATTTTTTTCTTCGGGAATGTTTGCGGATTTTCATCCTTCGGGATCCACATTATTTTGGCTTCTGTTGCATATTGAAACCAAGACTCGTCCCCTGTTACTAAAAAGCGAAACTTCTTGGATTGATACGCACCCAATATAGAGAGGAGCTCTTTCGAAGATTGGACTCTAGATTTTTTTTGAACTGAATTAAGGTTGTGCGGAACCCAACGTGTATACGCTAGTTTGTAGTTCAAATAATTGTGCAGATAATAACTGACTGTTGTACGTGGTATCTTTGTCATCTCCTCTATCCTTCTGAGTGATGCTCTTGGGTCTTCATCTAGCGCTTGAAGAATTGCTTTGATTTTTCTTTGATCCGGCGATTTTTTGTCAATTTTTATGATGGGCGCCTTTTTGTTCATGAAGTGATACATCCTAACATGATACGTTACAGTGGAATAGCTAGGAGCATCCATACCGAAGCATTTTACCAATGTCTCGTAGATTTTTTTACAGTCTTTGCATTTTTTTGCAAGAGCGAGGATGTTTTCTTTATGATTCATTAAAAAAATGAAAAAAATCCCGCCAAAATTTCCCGCGAAACCGCCTCTTGTCTCAAAATTCATTTTATATCCCGGCATGGCGCCAAAATACAACATACTCATCATATACATATATTAATATTTTTTATTATATATTTATAATCAGCATATATCTCCTTTAATAGTCTCATATAGAGCGCTGTGCTAAACGCACCTTTGGACACCCTATATAACTCAAAGATATGACAGTACAGTCAATAGAGTCAAGGTTGTGTTTGTTAATGATATGAGAGCTGCTGAAACAGAACTGCTTGAAGTTTTTGAGAAAATGTATGGTGCTCCCACGAAAGGTAAAGAAACGTTTGAAGTAGATGAGATAGATAAAGCTATAAAATTATTTGACGAAGTTGCTGAAAAATACATGTAAAGCGTTTATTTTTGGTCTTTTGTGAAAGTCAGAAAATAAAGTTAGTTTTATTTTTATTTATTTTTTTATTTTGTATGTAAAGACAGTAATGTCAACATTAGAGAACACAACAACAGTTATAGTCCATAAAGCTATAAATGAAGAATACGAATACATACAATATAACAAACAACTTCGCCTCATTCGTTCGGCCAAAGACGATATGTACCAAATGCAAAGTATAATGAACGCTCTTCGTTCTACAAAGCAAGCATATCATTGGTTTGAAAACCAACAGACAAAAGAACTTTTAGAAGAATTTCCTCATATGATTGCTTCCCTCGGAAAACCGAGAGAAGAGATTCCGTACGAAAATCGCAAGAATTTGGCTCCTGGTTTGAAAGGTTATTATGTTCATAGACTTTTAGTAAACGCTGTAGCAATATGGGCTTCACCTCGTTATGCTTGTTATATTTTCATGATGTTAGATGAACTATATAAAGCAGAACGTGGAGAGATGGAAAAGAAACTTCAAGCAAAAGATGAAGTCATTGAATCCAAAGACAAAAGCATACAGAAAAGAATACCGCGTTCGGTACCAAAAGGAAAGGAAAAGAGTTATAAGTATATGATATATACTGAAGAGTTGGAGAAAGAAGAAGATAAAGATGTGGTTATGTTGCATTTAGTCAGAAGAAACAACAAGAGCTTTTATGACTTAGCTAAAATATATAAATCTGACAGAAACTGGTTCTATCGTGAAAACTTACCAATTTCAATGACACCGAATGAGCAAATAAAGGAAATTGTCAAAAATACTCTTCCTCAAACACACTATGACATCAAAGGTTGCACAATACTTACATTCAAAGAAGACTTAACATTACTGAAGGAAAAAATAACAGAATATTTCGATAACTTCAAAGAGGAAGAATAAAAAAATCTAAGCTAATTTTTTTTTTTATAAAATTTTATCTCATATGAAAGAACATGAATTTAGAATATTCGGAACTCATGACAGAAGAAGAGAACGAACAACATGTAAAAGATTATGCAAAATTTCTGAAGACATACAAAGCATTTAAACAATATCTAAATGCTTCTAAAGATTATGCAAAATTTCTGAAGGTATATAAAGCGTATGAAAAAGCGTATGAAAAGTTTATACATTGGGGAATTGTTGTAAAATATCGATATGAAGACTAACCAAAAATATATTTTTGCTTAAATAGCTTCAGGGTCTATTTCTTCAACCATTTCACTTCCTTCGTCAATGTCAATAGAAGCTTCTTCAACCTTTGGTAAGAATTTCTGTATAACATCTTTGTTCGTTATTGTCTTCAGAGATGAAGGATAATATTTCACATTTGTTTCACCCTTCTTATATTCTTTCTGTTCGGAAAGATTTAAAGCAATACTGAAGAAGTCAATGTTAGAGTTCTTTATGACAGTATAATGAGTATCTTTGACATTCACGAAGAAACTCTTTTGTTTCAAAACTACTGCTAACTCTTGTGAAGTATAACGTTTGCGGTCAATGACGATAGCTAATGGTCTGACATACTGACCAAACTTAGATTCTTTCACAAACTTCTTGTTAAAGATAACATTAACATTTGAAGCATTATTGAACTCATTCTTGATGGCAGTAGCGAGAGCATTGTATGAAAAGAACTTGCAATCTTGCATGTGTTTCATTAAAATATAAATATTAAATTATTTTGAAAAATAACTTAAAAAAATCTAATCTAATTTTTTCTAAAAATATTTTTTTTATTTCCTACTAAAGATGTATCGGAAGTTGTCTAAGTTAGAACACTCGGAAATAAAACAACTTCTTACAGAAGCTAACATAGAAGTAGCAAAACATTACGCAACAAACAAAAAAGCACTCGCTGACTTCATTAAAGACTATAATGGTGCAATAAGTTATGATAGAATTCATGAGTTCATAAAGCCGCAACGCGGCGAGGACGAAGTCCATGCAAGAGCATTTCCTTTAAATGACGTTGCTATTGACTTATATCATAGACGTTCAGTACCTCATGAAGTAAGAAGAGAAATGTTTGACATAACAAATGCAAACGTTGGTAAAACACGAAAGAGAGACGACACACTGAAACAACAGAGAAGAGAGATGTTTAAGAGCGCTATAGAACAAGTTCGCAAAGCTAACGATGTCATTCGTTCCATTGACGACAAACCAAAAGAAGGTGAGAGATGGTTAAAGAAAGATGAAGAGAATAGGAAGAGAAATGTGAAGTCAGGCAATAGACTCATTGACTTTAACATCGAAGCTTTAGATGAACCAAACAGAGACTACTTACACAAACATTTCGGTAAGGTTTTCATGAGACTCTTAGAGAAAATTAAAATAAACTCACAACAGAGATGGATGGTATGTTATAAACTTGGTGGAAAGTATGAATGTTCTACGTTAAACCTCAATAATATTGGAACATTACTACATCAGCTCTTGAAGGAGAACTTTATATCAGAGATAGAAGCAAATGCTGCAGGTATTGTTGAAATGCACTATGACTTCTTCTTGACAAACATAAAGAATCTTACCGAAATAAAGATGTATGATTTAACAGAATATGAAGGCTTAACGATGTCAGATGTAAAGAAAGGCAAAAAAAAAGAGACCATATAGAGATGAAAGCACACTGACAAATGACCAGAAAGCCATTTTGGAAGCTCTTAAGCAAACAGGAAACCCAGCACTTATAGAAAGCTTTTGGAAAGATAATGGTGAAAAGAAGTTTTATAAGAAGAGAAGCGGTCAGTTCTGGAAGTATCTTTGCACATTACCTATAAATCTTGAGCGCTACCAAATTTTCAATGAACTGAACAAAAGAACTGCAGCACTTATGACAGAAGACAATTGTTTCGTTTATGCTTGCATTCAGGCTGGAGTAGATGGAGAGACTATTGACCACATGAGAGAAGTCATTCGTGTTAGAGACTTTCCTCAA